TATCGAACAATGTTTGTTAGAAAAGAATAAATTAATTTAGGTATCAGTATTTAGAGAGGTAGCAGCTTCAGTAGAAAATGGTAGTGTTAAAAGTAAGAAAACTTGAATATGTATGAATGAAATATGTATGTATCATACAATATGTATGAATGAACTTTAGAAATGAGTTGAGGAAAAAAAAATGCTATAAATGCATAGATAGTTGATATTAGAGAAACAGCATGAAAGAGGCAGAGTAAAGCCTGAAAATGATGATGATGATGATGATGATGATGATGATGATGATGATGATGATGATGATGATGATGATGATGATGATGATGGTAATGATGATAATAATGATGATGATGATGATAATGATGATGATGGTCATCATCATCATTATCATCATCATCATCATCATCATCATGGTAATGATGATTATGATGATCATGTTGATCATAATGAGGCTTATATATGCATATATATACAACATAAAATCTGAATTTTGAATTAAAAAATATACTTTAGAGTGTATAAATGTTTATGCAGCCCCGGTCACAAACACGGTCCCGACCCCAGCCCTGGTCAAATATTAACCCTGGTCACTTACTAGCCCCATGCATTTTTGGCAGATCATTGTTGTAAATTTAAAAGCATATAGGGCCAAAGATAGAACCACGAGGAACCCCTGGAGTTACAGGATATGAAGAAGAGTGCTGTCCGTCAAGAACAACTTTTATACTATGATTGGTAAGGAAGGATTCAATAATTTTAAAGATGTTCATTGATACACCATTAAAAGAAAGCTTATGGAAAAGACCAGCATTCCAAACTTTATCAGAAGCTTTAGAAATGTTGAGAGTTCTAATATAAGTTTATTTCTTTTACTTCTAAAAGTAAGATGGAGAATATAGAAACATATTTTTATAGAAAAATAATAACAATAATAAAAGTATAATAAAATAATAAATTGTTTATATATTATACTAATGATGATTATTTGTTAGAAAAATAAATTATTGTAATAAAAAAATAATGGTAATAATATTTAAATATATTTTATAATCTCCAAGAGCTAAAATGCGAAATGAAGATACGTAAATTTATTTTAGGCTGCCTTACTGCAATATATTCCATACCTCTATCATAGAATAAAATTAAGTCTAGTCATGACAGAATAAATATTAAGGTTTTAAAATAAGATATCTTGGCTGTATATTTTTTTAACAGGTTAGCACATCTACCAAGAGAAAGAATAGAATTGTTTATCTATGTTTTTATCAGAGATAATCACATGTTCCTATTATTTTACTATGGAACAAGTTTTTTTGTCTTTTAAACTTTCTTCTTTTTTATTGAGTAACAATTCTTAAGTAATTCGGCAGTTTTACCGGGTACCCGGTATCGGCCATTTTGTTGTAGTACCCGGCACCGGGTATCTTCAAATTGATTTTTTCTTTAGTTAAACTTTAACCATTAAACTTCTTGATATAAGTCTAAGAGTGTTATGTAGTCGATAACCACAAAGTTCTATTAACTTAAAACAATCTCACTTAAAATATTTTTTAATTCACTTTTGCAAAAAAATTTATACGGATACAAAAACTGTATCGCTAAATGAAATAATTCGAGAATACGAATAAAAAGAATGGGAAACAAAGTTTTAGAATAGCTTCTTTTTATTCTGTTAGAACACAAGATAATTTTTAGCAATTTATTTTTGAATGAAACGCTTATAATGCTTTCGAACGCTGATAGACTTTTCATTCGTATCGAGCAAAAATCATAAAAGTAGAGATATAAGGTAAATATTTTACACATTTTTCATATTTTAATTTCGAGCGTATTATTAAAAAAATTATCGTTTCATATAAAATAAACGAAAACTTTGATATCAAAACTAGTTTCATTATCTGTATAGAAATTTTATTTGAAAGAAAAGTTATGGCAAAAAAAAAGTATAGCGTGGAAGTTCTTTGATATAAGCACGACTCCTCATATGAGTAAGTGCAAACTATGTGATAGTTTAATTACGAGAGGAGGAAAATCTTTCAAGTCTTATGGAACTACAGCAATGGTAAAACATTTGCGTTTAAAGCATTCCAAAGAGTTTAAACTTGCGGAAGAAAAAAAAAAGGTTCAATCGTTGCCGTCTATTTCTGAAGCCTCAGTTGCTTCTACCACCAATACAGTACAAAGTAGCGTTATTCAGGCTTTACAAAAAAAATAACAGTGGAATATTGATGACCACAGATCTATTCGAATCCATAAAATAATAGGAAAACTTATCACATTGGATATTCAGCCATTTTCTATTGTTGAAGATACAGGGTTTAATGAACTGATTAAAGATGCTTACCCCAATTACAAATTACCATGTAGAACATATTTCAGCCAAAACGTAATCCCTAGCATGTATGATGAACTTTTTAAAGATATAAAAATAAAAATCTCCGCGGCAAACTATTTGTCTCTGACGACAGATATTTGGACAGCGGATACTGCAAAAATCGCATTTTTAAGCATTACTGGATATTGGATAGATCTAACTAAATTTTCCCAAGAAACTGCTGTTCTTCGAGTAATTCATTTTCCGGAAAAGCACGCAGGTGTTCATATAAAAGAGTATTTACAAAAAGGTTTAGAAACTTTTGAAATCCCGTTAAGCAAAATTCATCTTATTGTTACCGATAATGCAAGCAATATGAAGGCTGCAGTAAAAAACAGTGGAATGTCATCAATTCCATGCTTTATCCATACTTTGCAGCTATGTATTCATGACTCTATATTTACCCAAGAAATCATCAAGGAAATTTTAACTTTATGCAGAGGAATAACGACACATTTTAATCATTCACCAATAGCATGTGCAAAATTAAAATCAATTCAGCAGCATTAAGTACTCTACCTCACAAAATGAAACAAGATGTTCCAACTCGCTGGAACAGTTCATTTGAAATGCTACAAAGAACGTTTGAACAAAAAGTTCCTTTGGCCACCTATGCAGCAGAATATGATGAAATTAAACTTCCTACTAATTATCCATTTGAGTCCAGAAATTGGAATATTCGAAAAACTTGTTCACATTCTTGCTCCATTTGAAAACTTAACAAAAAAATGTGGTAGGAGGGACGAAACTTGCGCACAAATTATATCATCTGTTCTTGCATTAAAAGTTTTATTACAAAAAGCTTCATCAAGTGATATATACGCTGGGATTATGACGATGATTGATGAACTAATAAAATCTGTTACTAAAAGACTTGATAAATTTTTGCTTAATAAAATGTTATGTGTATCAACATTTTTGGATCCACGATATAAATTACTTTATCAACATGCAGATGAAAATGTTATTAAGGAGTGGGTTGAAGAAGCATGGAAAGAAATGCAAGGAGCGCAAGATGTTGTTGACTCTGACTCCGACAATGCTCCAATAGTAAAAGCTCCAGCATCTAATGGATTCATTAGCATTGATGATTGTTTTAAAGATGTAGCTTCTATGAAAACCGGAAGAAAGCAGAGTGAAAGACGTTCCGAGGCAGAAAGAGAATTAGTAGATATTGAAGTTGTTACCACTGACACAATTAAGAAGCAAACAATATTAAAGTCTGCAATTACTCAAGAAATAGACAACTACTTATCTCTGCCTCTTTTAGATAACAAAAGTTCTCCGTTTTTGTGGTGGAGTAAATGTGGAATGCAATTTGAAAAACTAAAAAAGATGGCATTAAAATATCTTACAGCACCTCCGTCATCAATAGAAAGTGAAAGGTTATTTAGTGCTGGTGGGGACATATACGAAGCAACAAGGAGCAGACTAAAAGCAGATAACGGAGAATACCTAATGTTTGTGTATTACAATCTAAAGTTAATAAAACAAATAAAATAAGATACAGCAAATAAGTGTTGTTTAAGTTCTTTTTATTTGTTTTATTTTATTCACTGTACAGTCGAGAAGGTCTACCTTTTTTTGCAATTCTTTATATTTCTTAATCTTTTGCTTTCCATAATATAACTTTCAATGGCGGAACTTCAAATTTTGCCCCTTTCCCCACAAAATATTATTTAGGCCCGCTCCACCAGGAAAGAAAAATAATTTTAAACTAAATATAGTTGTTAAAAAACTGTTGCACAACTTTTTAAAATAGTTAGGCCCTGCAACTCAGGCCTCTTTCCCTGCATTGCATGGTTTTGCTAAATAGTACGTCGGCCACATAACTTTTTGTTAGTTAGCGTAAAAAGCGTATTTTGTGTGAATAGTTCAGCCCTAGAGATTTCACAAATTTTTATTCCAACTTTTAAAAAATGGACTCGGTGCCGAGTACCCGGACTCGGACCCAGTTTTTTCAGCCGGGTACCCGGAATCGGAGACTCGGCATAAACTGGTTCCGGCACATCTCTAATATATATATATATATATATATATATATATATATATATATATATATATATATATATATATATATATATATATATATTGACAAAAAAAATGGTATCAAGTTGTGAAAATAAAGTCGCACAAAATGAATTGTACCTAGTATGAAAATAAAGTGTACCTAGTATGAAAGTGAGTTGTACCTAGTATGAAAGTGAATTGTACCTAATATGAAAGTGAGTTGTACTTAATATGAAAATGAATTGTACCTAGTATGAAAGTGAATTGTACCTAGTATGGAAGTGGATTAGTGGACAATGGTTTATTTAGGGTGAAGCATATTTACACATTTTATAATTTTTTATTTAAAAAAGAATTTAGAATATATTTTCTTTAAAAAATTATTTAATCATTTTGATATAAAGTAATAGATTAAAAAAAATCTAAAATTATTATTAATAAATCTCTAATTTCCCTTTTTTTGAAACTTTTGGGTTTAAAAACTTTTGACTTTTTAAAAATTTTTCTATTACGAACATGCCAGGTAATCAAGGCTTTATAAAATAATTTCATTTTTTTATATTATAAATTTTTATTTTTTTGTCAAAACCCAGTTTAAATTTGACTTGATATTTTATAGGTTATAAAAGAATATAATGTTGAACAAAATGGACTTAATGCAGCTAAAGCCCAACGTAAAATTAGACTTCAGTATATTCAGCGATCTGTTCCAAAGAAAGAAGATGTTGTTGAGTATCTTCTAAAGGATGTTCCTGAAAAGTTTAAAAGTTATTGTGCTATTAACAAAATAAAAAATACAGATATAAAATTTACAAATTTAGTGTTTGAGGTACATATATATAATGTACATATATAATAAAAATACATATATAATAAATATATAATAACAAATATAAATTGGTTTTTGTTTTGAATTTAAAAAAAAAAAAAGATATAATAATGTAACTGTAAAATGTTTGCTTGAACAAAACACTGTGTTTTAAGAAAATGTGTGCTTGAACACAACACTGTGTTTTAACATATAAAATAGTATAGTCATAGATAGAAAACCTTTTTCGGAAAAAAAAAGTTTTTCTTTTTCTTTTTTTACTATTTTTATAAGCTTCCTCTCACTCCTAGGCATTATCTCCTGAACATTATTTCCTGCGCATTATTTCCAGCATGCCTGGAGTAAATGTATTGTTAGTGCCTCAAATAAATGTATTGTTAAAATGATATTTTGGTAGACAAATGTGTTTTTTATTTTACATTGCATTTGCGGTAACAGCAACAAAACTATAAAAGAAAGTTTTGACTTTTCCTTTTGCAAGTAAATATTTAATTTTTAAACATAATTTTTTCATCTTTTAAATTTCATGCTAATTTTATCATTTTGAAAAATTATAAAGCAGTTCAGTGTTGTAATCAAAACCTTAAGCACACATTTATCTTGTTTTAGTAAACTAAATAATAATGCTGCAAAAAAATACCATTACAAAAAAAATGTAATAGAAAAAAAATTACAAAATCACAGTTTAAAAATGTGATATACTTTGAGCTATGCAGCTCCTATATACTTGCATATTAGATTCTTTTTAGATCAACGAGTTTATAAACCTTATTTTGGAAGAAGATTCCCAAAAGGCTAATCGTGAAAGAAGATATAATAAACTTTTAAAGCTCTCTCTTGGTTCCAGGAGAACAATTTTGCATTTGGCAGCTGATCAAGACTTAGATATGGTAGTTAATACAATTATATTATTTTATCCAACCCTTGTTAATGTAACAACTGAAGTGGACGGTTTTGATGATAATCCTTTATGCTTTGCACTCAGAAAGTTTTATGATAAAACATCTAGTTCACTTATAAATGCAATGGATAGTTACAGGTGCCCTTTTTCTTGAGATATTTTTTTTTATAATTTAATTTTATTGTCTTTTAATATTTTTAAATTTTATTTTATTTTACTATTTTTAATTTATTTGTAAAATCATTTCTATTAGTTTTTTTATTTATTTTTATTTTTATTTTAAAATTGTAAATTCCCATTTGTTGTTGATTGTTGCTTGGTTGCAGAGTTGATAGATTTAAACTAAAAGTTAAAACCATTTTTTTTTAATGTTGGTTTAAACCAAATAAAGAATAAATTTACAAGAGGAATTTAAAACAGGTTTACAGTATGTTTACAAAGATATAACTATTTTTGTAAACAATGTTTGCAATAACAATGTTATATATCCTTAATGTAAATGTGTGATATAATCGTACTATTAATGAGTACACCTCATGAGCTTAAGACTTCTTACCTCACAGTATAAGGACACCTCAAGAGTGTAAATAATAAAAGATAAAATACTCACACCTCAAGAGCATAGAAAATAAAAGATAAAATATTCACATCTTAAGAGCATGAAAAATAAAAGATAAAATCCTCAAGAGCATAAAGTCTTTATAAAATCACTAAAATCTTCAACAACTTTTTCTTTTTTAAAAGTGGCATTTACTCACACACAAAAAAAAAATGTTTTTTTTTTTCTTCATAGTTTTAATAATCATTGTTTTTGATTGTCATGTTATGAAAATTGAAGAAATAACAAGATTATAACATTAAACAAAAAATGTTTTTAAGATTTTTTAAGGTGGAAAATGAAACCCTACCTATTTAACTTATCATCACCTATAAAACTTATTCTCGAAAATTAATCCTTACATAAGAAACTTATCCTAAAATATTTTTGAAGATTTTTGGTTTTACTTGTTTTAGCATTGTTAAATGTAACTTTTCTAAAAATGAAGGAGTTTTATATATTTTTCATCATTTTAATAATTACAACATGCTTTATTAAAATCTTTGGAGAGTTTATCAATAATAATTTTATAGGAATCTACAAACAAAGCTATATACAAAATCTTATTCTACAACGTTTTTATGTTTGATTTTTTTATATACTCTCATTATGCCAATGACTTTTTACTTTTTATTATTGTCCTAAGGAAAATTTTTTTTAGAAAGATTACTAATTGCTTTTTTATATTTTCAGTGTGCGTTGTTTATTTGAAAGTAATGAGATGGCAAATGCACGTTTTTTTTTCAAAGATTATATCAATCCTAAACAGAATGTATCCATGAAGGTATTTTTATTAAATACTGATTATATATATTTTTTTGTTTTAAAAAAGTTGAAAAAACTTTTTTTTTTTGTTACTTCATTTTATTTTTTTCTAGGAAACAGTTTTAGCTATACTCGAGAAGCTAATGAATCCTTACTGGCCATTTAAGCCTGTTAATGAAATTAGTAAAGAAATTGAATGGTATGATATGCCTAAAGCTCCATTATCTCATCATTTTTACTTCCAAATATTAGATGCTGATGGTAATGGAAATGCACCAAAATATGATAATGGTAAAGTTAATAAAAATTTTAACCACAGAAGTAAATCATGTTTACATCTTATTGCTGAATCAGCAAGTTGCAGGGTAATATTTTATTGTAAAGTTATGAACCTTATTTAAGCGATAAAAAATTTCTTTAATTTTGTTTATTTTTAAAGATTATTTTTTGGGTATGAGGAAAAATCTAGTGTTGAAAATAAATGTTATTTAGGTGAGATGATTAATTGATTGTGAAATGTTTTATTAATCTAACTTATATAATCAAATTAACCCAACAATATTTGTAGGAAGCGATTCAACATCCTGTTGTTAGATTGTTAGTCAAGAGAAAATGGAATGAATATGGACAAAACTTGATTAGGTAAACGTTTCAATTTTTCTTTATGTATTCAAATAAATGAGAGCATAATTTATATTCGTGCTAGATTTAATTTTTAATAGATAAGATTTTTTAATTTGGTTTTTAAATTGATTAAATCAAATTACTTAATTTACTTAGAATAAATATATTTAAAGAAAAAATGGTCATGCATTTTGATGTATAAAAGTTAACAATACTAGAAAGTGGCGGCATGAAAAGGAATTGGAGTCTCTATTGTCTCTCTTTTGTCTCTATTGTTTTTAGTAAGATTTAAAAAATTACTTTAAGTAAATAGAGTCAAAATCAAATTAAAAGAAATAATGGTGTAAAAGTAGAGTGTTTTTGATAATAAGTTTTGTTACCTTTTTAAATTCAAATTGGATTAGCTGGTAGAGCAGAGGAAGCATTGTTGGCAAGAGTAAAGTCTTGGTCAAATTCAGAGAACTAATTCTTTTTTATTCCAGGGAATTACATAATTTTAACAGCAAAAAATCTTTAAAAAATTAAAAGAAAGTTATACAATGCATGCATGTTATAATGTATGGCAATGAAACATTAGCATTGAAATTCATTCTTTCAGTATATGGAGAGGTTGGACGGTTGCGTGAGGTGTATGGATGGTGTATGGATGTTGTGTATGGTTGGTTGCGTTTATGGATGGTTGCGTGGTGTGACTATGAAAGATAAGAAACAGTAATGATCTTAGATCTTAGAATTGGTATAGTGGGTATATCTGAACAGCACTGTCAGAGTATGTTAAGGTGAATTTGGGTATGTAGAGTGTACAAATGTAGTTGATTCGTTAGATAAGCAATTTGACATCATGCTGAAATAGGAAATTGCGAGGGCTTTGTTATGACTATATCAAACCCCCGAAATGACAAAAATTGCTATTTTGACCTCCTAAAATGATTTGTCTGTCATTGCTGACTGGTTGAAAAAAATCAGAGTTTCAAAAAGATTAGATAAATAATCAGAATGTTATTTGGAAAAAAAAAAATTGAAAATACTAAAATTTCATAAACTCATTTAAATTTTAAAAAAGCGTTTAAAATAGTTTTATTGTTTAGGATTTGTTTTAATTGCTAGCATTAAAGCGGAAGTTTAAAAACCAAAAGATGTTTAAGCAAATTTTTATTATTATTAGTTTTTTTTAACAATACTCCCTGGCTTTAATCTTTGTTTTTTAAATGTTACATTACACTTTTTATTAATAATTTTTTTTTGATAATAATAATTACTATAAATCCTACTACTTAAAATATATATTTGAATATATATATATATATATTAAATTTATAGTTGTTAAAATTTTAATTTCTAAGTTTTAGCATGTTAATAGAAAGAAATTTTTTTGCTTTAACAATCCTGAATCCATTAATTCACTTCATTGATGAATATTACACATGACATTAACTATATCAATTAGGTTTTTTGTTTCACTTATTTAAATTACTTTTATTATACTGGTAGTCAAAATCCCTTTTTCATAAATGATTGAAGTTCTTATTTTATTATTATTTTAATAAATATATTTAATATATTGTTTTAATAAAAATTATAATGATAAAAAATATTATAATAATTTCTGTATTTAACTAGTAACATTTTTTCTTTCAACTGTACTTAGTCAATTTGCTATATATTATAATATTTTTTATATAACAAATTTTATTAATCTTTTTATATACTTTCTTCTAACTTTTGCAGCAAATTGTAAATATTAGTATTAGTAATATAAAAAATAGTATCTGTGAACAAGAGTTAACAGCATTATTAACTAATTAATATTAGCGGTTTTTGAAATAATTTTAATGAGCAAGATATATAAAAATCTATAAAATGTTTGACATTCTTTAACTTCAGAGATTGAACTTCTTATTTTCTTATTATTTAAAATTGTTGAATGTAACTAAGAACGTTTTCTTAACTATACTTTATTTTATATTTAATATTTATTTTTTTCATTCAATCTTTTGTTTTTCTTGTAGCACTTCCCACCATATGTGAAGTCATTGTAACAAAATGAATTATTTTTAAATAAAATAAAAATTATCAATTGTGTTTGGGCAGTTGAGTATTGAACACAATTCATTCAGATGAATTTTAGTTTTGGGAATTTTTTAAATTTATTTTTAGAAACAAGTCAGTACATTTTAAAGATTCCCCTCCCCTTTCAACCTAATTTTATTTGTAGAATATATATATATATATATATATATATATATATATATATATATATATATATATATATATATATGTATATATATATATATATATATATATATATATATATATATATATATATATATATATATATACATATGACCTAAATATTTTTTTATTTTTAGGATTTATGCAGGCCTTTATTTAATGTTCCTTGTCTTATTCTCTCTTGCCCTTTTTATACAACCAGAAAAAAAAGGATTAAAATACAATGGCTCATTGGATTTTTTTCGTTTATTTTGTGAAGTTGGAACTTTATTGTTTGTAATATTTTATATATTCTTGGAAGTGGATGAAGGTGAAAAGTAAGTAATTAATTTAATAGAAAATTATTTTGCTGTTGAGATTTTTAAAATTTTATAAAATCTTTATATTATTAGATATATTTTTAAATTTTCTATAAGTTGTTCTAATCTTACTTTTTTAAAAGGATCTTAAAGTGTTGAGACAAATGTGCTTATATCTTAAATAAGCCTTAGAAATAATGTTTAAACTTGCAAAAGGAAATTATGTGTATTAAAATCAATATATGTATATATATATATATATATATATATATATATATATATATATATATATATATATGTATATACATATATATATATATATATATATATATATATATATATATATATATATATATATATATATATATATATGTATATATACATATATATATAAATATATATAATATATATATATATATATATATATATATATATATATATATATATATATAAAAAAAAAATTTCCAGCTCTCCCCCTTTGTCATAACATTTTAATTCTTTAGTAACAAGTTCCATACAAGTCATCACAAAACCAATAACTCTTCTTCCCCCCTAGAATTTGACATAATTTATAGATGACCACATTCATTGCAACTGTTGTAACTAAAGCAGATAGGTTAGACTTCCAGAGCTCTATAAAGGAGTAACTTTGATTGAAAGCAGCAGGCCATCTGTTCCTTAAAATAGTCTTTTTTTGATAATTTTTTTCTATGTTTGCTATGCATCACTTTAAGTCTCTTGGTATTGAAACTCATCAATCAGTGATCTTACCATTCAACAGCTTTATCTGTGTTTGCTTGCAGGAGGTCTACGATTGTCATATTTTATGACCCAATGATCTTGCTGTCATTATCATAAAACTTGATCTGATGTTAAGATTTGTTTGAAAGATTGTTGATGCACAGAATAAATAGTAATGGTCCTAAAACCAAATCTTATGGTATGTTGCTAGTAATGTTTTTCAAATTTGAGGAATGTTCTCAGTATATGACCCTTTGCTCCCATATATAGCATGTTCTTGTACTTAAGTGACACCCATTTTTTACATTTACGGTCATGATATTTATATTAAATAATGTAATTGAAGTTGGTGTTTTTTTAATGTAATTTTTCTTATTACTTTTTCAACTTTGAAAACATAAATAACCTAATAGCATTAAAACAAGATTCCCTTGCAAATGTTGCATATGTGAGCATTTTGAAAACTCTGTTTAAATAGTTTCAATTAGGAAATGTATTCATAGACTTATTTTCCTGCTTTTTTTGTTCAAAGTGTTTACTACTACCATACCTGATACTAATAAAAATCTTTTTATCAGAAAATAAATTATTCAAATAGTTATTTGAATAATTTATTTTCTGATAAAAACCAAATTGATATTTTTACATAAACCTGTTATATTCTAGAAAATATAACAGGTTTATGTAAAAATATCAATTTGGTGTTGAAGTTTTATGCAAATATGTTTTGTTATTACTTGTTTACCTGTACTTGTTTTATATAAAACTTTATCTGTGTTTTATATAGCATTTTTATAAAACTAATAGTATTTAGACTATATTATTGTTTAACAATAAAAGTTTGACCATGATACCGTAATACATAAAAATACCAATAATTCATTTAACAAGACAAATCACATTTGTCAGTTTTCACAATTTGTCACTTTATGCCAATTTTCATTTTTACATACTTAAATTTGGTATTTTTATAAAATTTGGTGATTTTTTTGTAAATTTTTTTTTTATAATTACATTATCTTTTATATTTTTACATTTGTTTCATTTAAAGATAAAAGTTTTAGGAAATGTTGAAATATTTAAAAAATATCAAATATATGATTAAAAAAAAAAGATATTTTTAAACTCAAACTCTGCTACAACCTAAGCCTTTCAATGCATATTCATTTCCCTGGTTTTGCATGGATAGTATTTCTGCTGGTCATATATAGTTCTTTATACTGCCTTGACAGTGCATTGACGAGGCAGTATAAAGAATTCTTTATTGTGACATTAGATTTTTGACACAGATAAGACATTTGCATAGTTTTAAACTTAGACAGTAAATTTGTTTCACTCCTTCTTGATGGCAACTTCAGGGAGTTGATACTGTTGTGGGGATGTTTACAACCCTTATCTCTATATATACCAAGATTCAATTGTAAAAAGCAGAACAAATGTGGAAACCTATTTCGGCAGACTTATTTGAGCCACCTTTGGGTCTCATATGATCAAGCCTTCACAGTAGGCTGATTTTCCCATTCTATGTGACCTAAATAAGTACTAAAAAAATTTGGCGGTTTTATTTTGACAGGAAGTGCTGGATGTAAAATCTGAGTTTTACTGTTTAAATGTTAAGCTGGATTAACATTAATAGAAAACACAATTTTTTTACATTTTAGAAAATTAAAACAAAACAAATAAATGCGTATAAATCATTGTTTTCTACTATTTAACTTAATAGATACAATATATATATATACAATATAACTTGATAGATACAATATTTATAAATATGAAAATACAAAAAAAAAATAAAAAAAATACATGAAAACTAATATTTATTAGCAAATTTAAGATTTTATTGCGGTGAAAGATTTCTCAAAAAATACAACTTTTTGAACAGTTCCCAAGCTCCTTTTTAGTCATACTCTTAATCAAGTTTTTTTTAGACTTTTTAACTACAAAAAGTACATTTTGATCTTCATCTCTAGTAGCTGAAATAAAATCTTTAATGAGCTTAATGTTTCTTTCTGCACCATCATTTAAATAACAGATATGTTTTTGATCCATGCAATAAAATCTAGCAACTGAGAACGGTTAAAAACATCTATAGTATTAAGACTATTATTGAGCTATTCTTTTATACTTGCTCTTGATATTTTAAAATATTTGCTCTGTGTAAAAATGGTAGCTCTGTGGTCTCTCCAATTTGTATATTTGATGGTTTACAACGCTGAAATTTATTTGGCTCTTCAAACTCAATTAGAGCTAACAGCATTCTTAGCTTTGTTTCAGAAGGAACTTCTTTATCCCCAAAGGACAAAACACAGAGTTGCAGAGTTAAGTACCACGTATGGCGTCCCATGCTGAGAATCAAAGCATTTCCAATATTCTTATTGACTTTTTTCAATGCATAGGGTGTCTGGATAGCTTTCAAATCATTGTAAGGAGCCAGAAATTCTAAAAAACATTTCAAAAACCATGGTGCATAGCAAATTGCAATGAACAAACTTGCATCCTTCAACTGCAGCACTTCTTTTTCTGTCAAAATATTACTGATATCTTTGGTCATATAAAGAGTCAGGATGTAGATTGCATCTGCTAAAAACCTTGCCTCATGGCAGGCGCCAGGTTGATGGAACTTAAAATCTTGTACTTCCGCTCCAAGGAAGGAGGCAAGTTTACAAACTATACCATAATCATTCTTTAAAAACGCCATATCAGTAGTTGCATTAGTCAAAAATTTCTTAGCTTCCTCTGCAACAGTGCAAAGAACAGAGTCAATCTTCAGATTATCTTTTTGTCAGTCCAATTTACATAAAATTTTCACTTCTTTTCGCCTGTATTGCTTGCAGTTGTATCACAGCATATACCAATGATCTGCTTTTTACATCTGTAATATTCTAAAAGATTGTGCACTTGTTCTGCTCTGTCAACTCCCTTTAAAGAGGGATATTGAACAACACCTAAAAGATGGTCTTCCATGGTATCGTCATCCGGGGAACTCACTGAGACTGCAAGTTGCTCGATTTTTTGAATAATGTTAAGCCCAGTGGTAATTTGTTTCAACAGTTTGGTATCAAAATAAAGAATAAGCCGTCGGCCTTTAAGATGATTAGTTATTGAAATCCACTCCAAGTCTCCTTCAAGTTCTACATATTTGAATTTTTTTCTATGAAGTATGCTTTGTGAAAGCCGTATATCATTAATTTCTATACCTTCAGCTTGAAATACTTCACTTAAAATTGCCAGATGAGGTCATAAAACCAACATTGAACCTTGTTGCTGGAATAGTTCATTAAATGAGCTGTAGCAGTTCATTAAATGAGCTTTGCAACATTCACTGCTAGATTTATCCTCTCTCTAGAATTGTACCTAGATATCATTTTATAATACTTTTTTACCTATTTAAAGTTATATACTTTTCAATAAAACAGTTTTAGCTTGTGAAAATTACAACTATGTTGTTAAAATAATACTATAACTGCGTTTCCAACTGTACCCAGGAAATCTTCTTCCTCGCTGATTTCAGAGTCCTCGTTTGGCTTTTCCTCTTCACTGCTAAATTGAATCTCTTCAGTCACGGAGTCATGTGACAATAAAACATCATTGATATCTTTTACGTTTTTCTGTCTCTCTAATTCTTTCTCTCTCAACTTATCTAGCTTGTTCTTTCTCCTGTTTGCATCCAGTACTCTCCTACTGTAATCCTTGTCAAAGTTTGTTCCCATATATCCTTTCCTATCCAACTTTTAATTTTCATAAAAACTAAGAAATAGTTAATTCTATTAAGACATTTATAAATAAATTAATAATTGTTCTAGTTTTTCCTGGAATATGGCCAAACCATGGAAGGAGTTAAGCGTAAATATTTTATAGGAAATAATATGCTATTACTTAAGTTACTTTAAATCGGAAAAAAAATTTCACTACTAGAAAAGTGTTATTTAATGATCTTTATATCTTCTAGCTTGGCATCATCTGTTCTCAATCTATCTTCAAGAATTTTTTTTTTTAAATTGTTAATGTAAATGTCAAAAACTGATAGGATTCTGTGAGAAAATCTTTCTCTAACTTTGATTGCTTATCAAGGCTGCTGTTCCAGTTTAGAGAAGACAGTTTAATCAATTTCTTGTATTTCAGATTAAGTTTAATGATTTTGGTTTTTATATTGTACCCAGAAATCACAAATTTCTTGCCAAACCCAGCATTATCCTAAATTTTTTTAATCCTAATTACCAAGCAAGAGTTATCAGGATCTGTACAAACACCATTTTCACAAACAAGATCCTTGG